GAAAACGTAGGTATTTATATATTGCTTTCCGCATGTCTTTCAGTCACTAAAGTGGATTATCCACGCAACATGTATGTAGTGTTCCAGTAGGCTCGGCCCATGGCGCCTTATAACCTGTGACCATGCGTTAAAACGCCCGCGTCTGGCTGACCAGCGTTTATATAAAGCAATACCACACATACATGTTAAAGCTGTTGTAGTTACTTAGTAGGACTAAAGTTAGAATATTCAGACAGTTATTCGATCCGGACAGTCGTTCTACTGCCACGTCTTATCGATCTAGACGCAGACAGCTACAGAAGTAATATAACGTGAAAATATGTCATGATTAAAACAAGTACAATATATTGATGATCTATACAAGAACTCCGAAAAGAATATGACTAGTCAGATAGATAACAAGCACTACCACTCAGGTCTTAGTGTATTATAACAATCATTAGTGCCTAGTTTCTGGTATATGATAACAATCATTAGTGCCTAGTTTCTGGTATATGATAACAAGCGTTATTACCTAGTTGCTGGTATATGATAACAATCATTAGTGCCTAGTTTCTGGTATATGATAACAAGCGTTATTACCTAGTTGCTGGTATATGATAACAAGCGTTATTACCTAGTTGCTGGTATATGATAACAAGCGTTATTACCTAGTTGCTGATATGTGATAACAGTGATCTGCATGTAGCAACATATATCAACATTTTGTAACATAATTCAAAATGTAGTAACATATATCAACATGTGGTAACATATATCAACATTTAATAACATAAAACACTATGTAGTAACATATATCAACATGTAGTAACATATATCAACATTTAGTAACATAAAGCAATATGTAGTAACATATATCGACATGTAGTAACATTTATGAACATATACTAACATATATCAGCATGTAGTAACATATATCAACATGTAGTAACATTTATGAACATATAGTAACATATATCAATATAAAGTAACATATATCAACATATAGTAACACATATCAGCATGTAGTAACATATATCAACATGTAGTAACATACACCAATGTGGTATAAAACCTAACCTAACGCATACTACTCCATGTACCCCTCGTGATCCTGCTACAACTTATAATGTTGTATCATGTACCAATATGTAGTAACATATATCAATATGTAGTAACAGATATCAATATGTAGTAACATATATCAATATGTAGTAACAGATATCAATATGTAGTAACATTTATCAATATGTAGTAACACATCAACATGTAATAACATATTTTGGTTTGGTTTGTTGTTTAACGCCGCACTCAGCAATATTCCAGCTATATGACGGCGGTCTGTAAATAATCGAATCTGGACCAGACAATCCAGTGATTAATATCATGAGCATCGATCCACGCAATTGGTCAGCGAGCCTGACCACCCGATCCCGTTAGTCGCCTTTTACGACAAGCATAGTCACCTTTTACGGCAAGCATGGGTTGCTGAAGACCTATTCTACCCCGGAATCTTCACGGGTCTGTAGTAACATATATCAGTGTGTCGTAACATATATCAATATGTAGTAACATATCAAGATGTAGTAACATATATCAATGTGTAGTAACACATATCAATATGTAGTAACGTATCAACACGTATTAACATATATCAATGTGTAGTAACATATCAAGATGTAGTAACATATATCAATATGTAGTAAAATATATCAATATGTAGTAACATATATCAATATGTAGTAACGTATCAACATGTAGTAACATATATCAATGTGTAGTTACATATATCAATACGTAGTAACATATCAACATGTAGTAATATATATCAACATGTAGTAACATATATCAACATATAGTAACATATATCAATATGTAGTACCAACAGAGCGGACCAATGAAGATCCGGGGTAGAATAGGTCTTCAGCAACCCATGCTTGCCGTAAAAGGTGACTATGCTTGTCGTAAGAGGTGACTAACGAGATCGGGTGGTCAGGCTCGCTGACTAAGTTGACACTTGTCATCGTATCGCAATTGCGTGGAGCGATGCTCATGATGTCAGTCACTGGATTGTCTGGTCCAGACACGAATACCTACAGACCGCCGTCCGGCATATTGCTGAGTGCGGCGTTTAACGACAAACAAACCAAAACAAAAACCAGCAGAGAATGGTAGAAGAGAAGAGAAAGCAAGATATTAGAAATTGAGGTTTGAGTCGAATTACCATGACTCTACTAAGGGGAACTATGCTTGTCTAAAGCTGCATGAAGCTATACGCGTCTGAGGTGTGATGGATTTAAACCAGTGCATGTGGAAGCACTCGTCAAGAGAACCAGCCACACGCCTGTCGCCAGTGACGTGTGTATGGCTGCCACATGTTTACAAGTGGTTCTACACAGCAGGTGCGCGATGTTGACAGTCGCTCATTACACACGTATAGAATAGCCTGATACAGCAATAATCCCCACAGGGTCTGTACACATTGCCGAACTGTTGACGTCCGCTCATTGCGGACAAAATAGAGTACAACAAACTGTGGACTTGTAACAATAAACCCGTAATGTTACACTGAGTGTGTGTGTAAAGTGTTACACGAAACACGGACTGTAGAGAACTGGTGGCGTGACACGAATGTGTGAAGCTGAAATGATTGTGAGCGCGAATTCTTCTAATAATCACGTGTTAAATGTGTCAGCGTTGATTGGTACCGTGTCTTTGCGGTATTTCCGTCAGGTTAACTCTAGTGTCGCCAATTACACCCGTCATTCAGAGGAAGAAATAACGGTCACTGCGCAGACAATAATTACCCACTTTCTATGTAACAAAAACACCCTTTCTGGGTTGGTTTCCTGTCTCGTGACGACCTCTGTAACAACAATAACACCATCACACTACAACTGGTAGCGACTTGTCACCTGGAGCGAGTGAGGGAGGAAATGTTGTTTGAGGCCGCAAGCGGCGATATCCAGCCTGTGACTCACCGAGCCTTGACTGAAGACGACCATGCGGGGAACGGTAGCAGGGGGAGTTGTCGGGGTAGGATGATTCACAATCATCCTATGTGTACGTGCATGTGTGCGTGCGTGCGTGCGTGCGTGCGTAAGAGCGTGCTTTTGTGTATGCGTTTGTACACCAAAATTCCAGGTATATGACGGCGGCTAGACCAGACAACCCAGTGATTGATATTGTGAGCAACGATCCACACCATCAATCACGTCACCCAGCCTGACCACCCGATCCACCCGTCTCTTAATACCAGGATAGTTTGCTGGGCATCAATTCTACCCGGAATCCCCACTGTGGGGGGTCGTCCTATGAAAAACATGGGATTCAACCAAGGAATCCCCGCGTGGATCCATGAGAACATGAAGGCGACATCTGTCGCCCCGGGTCTCCCAGAACCACAACCCACTGCTGGCTATGCGTAGTCACGGAAACCTCGATATACGGTTCAGTGCTGTTCCATATGACGTCGAGTATAAAGAGTTATCTGTCTTGCGAAACGTGGATTACCACAAAATAGATACAATGTCCCTATTGGATTTACGGTGCCAGATTATGTGTTGTTGTTTGTCGTATGATGTACGATCCGCCAGGATATAACGGTAATATTGCTGACAGCGTTAAACAGTTCACTCACTCATCCCACCTGTCATCTACGAATACAGGTTAACAAACATTAATACTACAGATAAGGTGAGCTAACAAATCACCATTTCTTTTCACATCTTGTTGTATTGTAACGTCCTAATATCAGCTGCTGTAACAAGATGCAAGTACGTTTGATCTCCGCGTTCTTTAAGTGTCACTTCCCTGTCCATGTCGAGTGGTACGTGATTATAGTTAGGGACCGTATAGCCGGCTGACGCTAACGCCCATATATTGATTAGCGGCCGATTGCCGCAGATTTCATCTCCCTTTTTAGACGGAAACACAAATGGAGTCGGTAAAATAGAGAGATGTTATGAAGCAAGTACAAGGGCCGACGCACTTCTCACTCCAGGGATAAAGTGATCCGTGGATTAATGGTGCAAGCCACCGGGGAGGACTTAGTGCGGTACCGTTATGGCGGGCTCAGAGTATTGTACTTTATAGTGTGGATCTATTATTCTATGTGTAGAAAGGCATATATGTGCTTTGTGCCGCAAATAGCAACGTCAGTGACCTCATCATGTAATCTACAGTCCAACTTGGAGCGGGGCGTCCTCGATATAACAGGGTATATTATCTCCATTCTAGTTTCATAAAAAACCCTGGAACCATTCGCTACGTTTTGAGTTCGATTCGAAATACTGGACCCACAAGAGTGTCGTCAAATCAAACTACACTCATGACATTATTGTCTGTCTCGGGTAGTATGACGTCATTGTCTGTCTCGGGTAGTATGAGTGAGTGAGTGAGTTAAAATATAACGTCGCATCGGAATTATTTCAGCCAAATAGCGACCGGATAGTATGACATCATTGCCTGTCTTGGATAGGATGACGTCATTGTCTGTCTTGGGTAGCATGTCATAGTCTGTCTCGGGTAGTATGTCATTGTCTGTCTTGGGTAGTATGACGCCATTGTCTATCTCGGGTAGTATGACGTCTTGTCTGTCTTGGGTAGTATGACATTGTCTGTCTTGGGTAGGATGACGCCATTGTCTGTCTCGGGTTGTATGACGTCATTGTCTGTCCCGGGTAGTATGACATCGTTGTCTGTCTCGGGTAGTATGACGTCATTGTCTGTCTCGGGTAGTATGACATCGTTGTCTGTCTCGGGTAGTGTGACGTCAATGTCTGTCACGGATAGTATGACATCGTTGTCTGTCTCGGGTAGTGTGACGTCAATGTCTGTCACGGATAGTATGACATCGTTGTCTGTCTCGGGTAGTGTGACGTCAATGTCTGTCACGGATAGTATGACATCGTACCCAGCCGGCGGGCATCAATATTGGGACAATGGAACCTTTCAGACTATGGCTCAAAATTCATGCATCCACTCACCCACCCAATAGGTTTGAAATAAGCACACCAACATGTCCTCGTAAACAACCTTTACTGACTAAACACTATATATGTCTGTTATTGATTAACAAATATAATCCATAGTTTTCTATATCAACATCAAAATGGAGGGCACGGGTCTTCACACTCTCGGATCCAGGTTTCAAGATGGCCGCTCTCCACGTGCATCAGCGCTGTGTAGACGGTTCCCTAAACAGGAAAAGATGAACGCCGGTATTTATGAAGCTGAAGCAGACATGTATCACTTGACTATAACGGAGGAGATATAGCAACGTCAAAACAAATGGCGAAAGGGGTGACAACTCTGATTTGTTTGTTTGTTTGTTGTTTAACGCCGCACTCAGCAATATTCCAGCTATATGACGGCGGTCTGTAAAATAATCGAGTCTGGACCAGACAATATAGTGATTGACATCATGAGCATCGATCCACGCAATTGGGATCGATGACATGTATCAACCAAGTCAGCGAGCCTGACCACCCGATCCCGTTAGTCGCCTTTTACGACTAGCATAGTCGCCTTTTACGGCAAGTATGGGTTACTGAAGACCTATTCTACCCTGGAATCTCCGCGGGTCTTGAACACATTAAGGTGTTGTAAGCTTTACCTTGTTTTCGAGACTACAAACATACCTTATTAAGGACGGGCTTCGTTGACAGGACATTGAACAGTGCAGGAAGAGATACCCCCTGTGAAAATAGACCAAGCCATGCGCTAGTACACACGCACGCAGGGAGAGATAGTATTTGTTTGTTGTTAACGCCGCACTCAGCAATATTCCAGCTATATGAAGGCAGTCTGTAAATAGACATCATGAGCATCAATCTACTGTATTGTAATACACTGACATGCATCAACCAAGTCAGCGAGCCTGACCACCCGATCCCGTTAGTCGCCTCTTACCCACCCCAGGGCCACAACCTCTCTCCCCACCTCAGACCACTCCTATCTACGCACCCCAGGAGCACCTCCTATCTACCCACCCCAGGACCACCTACACTCTACCCCACCCCGGTGCCACCTCCTCTCTACCCACCAAGGGGCCACCTCCTCTATATCTCAGCCTAGGGCCATCTCCTTTCTACCCACCCCGGTGCCACCTCCTTTCTACCCACCCCAGGGCCACCTCCTTTCTACCCCACCCCGGTGCCACCTCCTTTCTAACCACCCCGGTGCAACCTACTCGCTACCCCACCCGACGTCCACCTCCTTTCTACCCACCCGTGGGTCACCTCTTTTCTACCCCATCCCGGTGCCACCTCCTCTCTACTCCAGCCCAGGGCCACTCCTCACTACCCTATCCCGGTGCCACCTCCTCTCTACCCACCCCAGGGCCACTCCTCTACCCACCCAAGGGCCACCTCCTCACTACCCTATCCCGGTGCCACCTCCTCTCTACTCCACCCCAGGGCCACCTCCTTACTCCCCAACCCCAGGGCCACTCCTCTACCCACCCAGGGCAACCTCCTCTTTACCCCACCCCAGTGCCACCTCCTCTCTAGCCATCCCAGGGACACTCTTCTCTACCCACCCCAGGGCCACCTCCTCTCTACCCCACCTGCTGTGTAGTCTCCCTCATGCACTGGTTGGCCGGGCCCCGTCGGTCGTCCAGAAACAAAGGCTTCACCCAGTGGTCGTAGTTCGTCTCCAGGACGTACCAGCCTCCGGCTGACGCCATCGGCCACACGTCAATAGCATCATCCTTGTCGCGCGAGATTACACTGCCCTGGAACCAGAATACACGAGATTACACTGCCCTGGAACCAGAGTACACGAGATTACACTGCCCTGGAACCAGAGTACAGGAGATTACACTGCCCTGGAACCAGAGTACAGGAGATTACACTGCCCTGGAACCAGAGTACACGAGATTACACTGCCCTGGAACCAGAGTACACGAGATTACACTGCCCTGGAACCGAAGTACACGAGATTACACTGCCCTAGAACCAGAGTACAGGAGATTACACTGCCCTGGAACCAGAGTACAGGAGATTACACTGCCCTGGAACCAGAGTACACGAGATTACTCTGCCCTGGAACCAGAGTACAGGAGATTACACTGCCCTGGAACCAGAGTACACGAGATTACACTGCCCTGGAACCAGAGTACAGGAGATTACACTGCCCTGGAACCGAGGTACACGAGATTACACTGCCCTGGAACCAGAGTACAGGAGATTACACTGCCCTGGAACCAGAGTACACGAGATTACTCTGCCCTGGAACCGAAGTACACGAGATTACACTGCCCTGGAACCAGAATACACGAGATTACACTGCCCTGGAACCAGAGTACACGAGATTACACTGCCCTGGAACCAGAGTACAGGAGATTACACTGCCCTGGAACCGAAGTACACGAGATTACACTGCCCTGGAACCAGAGTACAGGAGATTACACTGCCCTCGAACCAGGGTACACGAGATTACTCTGCCCTGGAACCGAAGTACACGAGATTACACTGCCCCGGAACCGAAGTACAGGAGATTACACTGCCCTGGAACCAGAGTACCCATACAGCGAGGCCCCGTTCTGCGATAATAATGTGTAATAAAGTATAATAATGTGTAATAAAGTGTAAAAGGTACAACAATGTATAATAATGTGTAACATTTTGGTCATAATGTCCGTTTCACAACAAATGGACATGCCCATACCGAATCGCACTCAAGAAGTCAATTTTGCATTTGCAATATCTATATACAAACATAATTCGTCGTTAATCATTTATCGGAGCAAAAATAAATTCAAGGTATATTACAATTTATTCAAAATAAATTTGATCACCACTGCTACAAAAGGACTGTAAATCACTGAGAGGTAGGCCGAGGTATGCCCAAATATGGAATTGTCGACACGTTTGGAATACTGAGATTATACCCCTGCAACTCTCGTATCACCGATACTTTGACATGGGCGGCAGTCGTAGCGCTGTGATCGCTTTGTGAAACGCCCCCTGGCGGGCTATATAACCCCGTAACCCTCACAGGGGTACTACAGAAGGACAGAGGAAGGAGAAGGGACAACTGCTTAGCGCGAGTGACCCATGGCGGCAGAATTTCTGCTTGACCTCGGCGTCTGCTCTACGACAGCTGCATCATAGCGACATTGAGGACAACCATCACCAAGGTAACCATGAAATACTTTATCTACGTATAATTGGGTGACGATATCTTTCAACCATTTAACTGAAGGATGGATACTTTATTCTGGGCTCACAATCTTTTTCAGAACTGAGGCATTCGTCACTACTTGTGTTTGCAGATTATGAGAGACGCTAGCGGAGCCGAAAGGAATGGAATAGTGTAAGGGCTGTAGAACTGCGTGTGTTGTACAAGCAGTGTCAACAAAATGGCCAAAAATGTCCAGAACAAAAAAGTCACACGAGTCAGGGACAAACAGAATATCAGTAGTATCATACAAAGGGGGGGTAGGAGGGAAGCTTCCTGGAGTACTTTCAAGGTCAGCCCTCAGGAGGGAAGCTTCCTGGAGTGCCTTCAAGGTCAGCCCTCAGGAGGGAAGCTTCCTGGAGTACTTTCATGGTCATCCCTCAGGAGGGAAGCTTCCAGGAGTACCTTCAAGGTCAGCCCTCAGGAGGGAAGCTTCCAGGAGTACCTTCAAGGTCAGGCCTCAGGGGGGAAACTTCCTGGTGTACCTTCAAGGTCAGCCCTCAGGAGGGAAGCTTCCTGGAGTATCTTCAAGGTCAGCCCTCAGGAGGGAAGCTTCCTGGAGTACCTTCATGGTTAGCCCTCAGAAGGGAAGCTTCCTGGAGTACCTTCAAGGTCAGCCCTCAGGAGGGAAGCTTCCTGGAGTACCTTCAAGGTCAGCCCTCAGGGGGGAAACTTCCTGGAGTACCTTCAAGGTCAGCCCTCAGGAGGGAAGCTTCCTGGAGTACCTTCAAGGTCAGCCCTCAGGGGGGAAACTTCCTGGAGTACCTTCAAGGTCAGGCCTCAGGAGGGAAGCTTCCTGGAGTATCTTCAAGGTCAGCCCTCAGGAGGGAAGCTTCCTGGAGTACCTTCATGGTTAGCCCTCAGGAGGGAAGCTTCCTGGAGTACCTTCAAGGTCAGCCCTCAGGAGGGAAGCTTCCTGGAGTACCTTCATGGTTAGCCCTCAGGAGGGAAGCTTCCTGGAGTACCTTCAAGGTCAGCCCTCAGGAGGGAAGCTTCCTGGAGTACCTTCAAGGTCAGCCCTCAGGAGGGAAGCTTCCTGGAGTACCTTCATGGTTAGCCCTCAGGAGGGAAGCTTCCTGGAGTACCTTCAAGGTCAGCCCTCAGGAGGGAAGCTTCCTGGAGTACCTTCAAGGTCAGCCCTCAGGGGGGAAACTTCCTGGAGTACCTTCAAGGTCAGCCCTCAGGAGGGAAGCTTCCTGGAGTACCTTCAAGGTCAGGCCTCAGGGGGGAAGCTTCCTGGAGTACCTTCATGGTCAGCCCTCAGGAGGGAAGCTTCCTGGAATACCTTCATGGTCAGACCTCAGGAGGGAAGCTTCCTGGAGTACCTTCAAGGTCAGCCCTCAGGAGGGAAGCTTCCTTGAGTACCATCAAGGTCAGCCCTCAGGAGGGAAGCTTCCTGGAGTACCTTCAAGGTCAGCCCTCAGGAGGGAAGCTTCCTGGAGTACCTTCAAGGTCAGGCCTCAGGAGGGAAGCTTCCTGGAGTACCTTCAAAGTCAGCCCTCAGGAGGGAAGCTTCCTGGAGTACCTTCAAGGTCAGCCCTCAGGGGGGAAACTTCCTGGAGTACCTTCAAGGTCAGCCCTCAGGAGGGAAGCTTCCTGGAGTACCTTCAAGGTCAGGCCTGAGGGAAACTTCCTGGAGTACCTTCAAGGTCAGCCCTCAGAAGGGAAGCTTCCTGGAGTACCTTCAAGGTCAGCCCTCAGGACGGAAGCTTCCTGGAGTACCTTCAAGGTCAGCCCTCAGGAGGGAAACTTCCTGGAGTACCTTCAAGGTCAGGCCTCAGGAGGGAAGCTTCCTGGAGTACCTTCAAGGTCAGCCCTCAGGAGGGAAGCTTCCTGGAGTACCTTCAAGGTCAGCCCTCAGGAGGGAAGCTTCCTGGAGTACCTTCAAGGTCAGCCCTCAGGAGGGAAGCTTCCTGGAGTACCTTCAAGGTCAGGCCTCAGGAGGGAAGCTTCCTTGAGTACCTTCAAGGTCAGCCCTCAGGAGGGAAGCTTCCTGGAGTACCTTCATGGTCAGCCCTCAGGGGGGAAACTTCCTGGAGTACCTTCAAGGTCAGCCCTCAGGAGGGAAGCTTCCTGGAGTACCTTCAAGGTCAGGCCTCAGGAGGGAAGCTTCCAGGAGTACCTTCAAGGTCAGGCCTCAGGAGGGAAGCTTCCTGGAGTATCTTCAAGGTCAGCCCTCAGGAGGGAAGCTTCCTGGAGTACCTTCAAGGTCAGCCCTCAGGAGGGAAGCTTCCTGGAGTACCTTCAAGGTCAGGCCTCAGGAGGGAAGCTTCTTGGAGTACCTTCAAGGTCAGCCCTCAGGAGGGAAGCTTCCTTGAGTACCTTCAAGGTCAGCCCTCAGGAGGGAAGCTTCCTGGAGTACCTTCATGGTCAGCCCTCAGGGGGGAAACTTCCTGGAGTACCTTCAAGGTCAGCCCTCAGGAGGGAAGCTTCCTGGAGTACCTTCAAGGTCAGGCCTCAGGAGGGAAGCTTCCTGGAGTACCTTCAAAGTCAGCCCTCAGGAGGGAAGCTTCCTGGAGTACCTTCAAGGTCAGCCCTCAGGGGGGAAACTTCCTGGAGTACCTTCAAGGTCAGCCCTCAGGAGGGAAGCTTCCTGGAGTACCTTCAAGGTCAGGCCTCAGGAGGGAAACTTCCTGGAGTACCTTCAAGGTCAGCCCTCAGAAGGGAAGCTTCCTGGAGTACCTCCAAGGTCAGGCCTCAGGGGGGAAACTTCCTGGAGTACCTTCAAGGTCAGGCCTCAGGAGGGAAGCTTCCTGGAGTACCTTCATGGTCAGCCCTCAGGAGGGAAGCTTCCTGGAGTACCTTCAAGGTCAGCCCTCAGGAGGGAAGCTTCCTGGAGTACCTTCATGGTCAGCCCTCAGGGGGGAAACTTCCTGGAGTACCTTCAAGGTCAGGCCTCAGGAGGGAAGCTTCCTGGAGTACCTTCAAGGTCAGCCCTCAGGAGGGAAGCTTCCAGGAGTACCTTCAAGGTCAGCCCTCAGGAGGGAAACTTCCTGGAGTACCTTCAAGGTCAGGCCTGAAGAGGGAAGCTTCCTGGAGTACCTTCAAGGCCAGTCCTCAGGAGGGAAGCTTCCTGGAGTACCTTCAAGGTCAGCCCTCAGGAGGGAAGCTTCCAGGAGTACCTTCAAGGTCAGCCCTCAGGAGGGAAGCTTCCAGGAGTACCTTCAAGGTCAGCCCTCAGGAGGGAAGCTTCCAGGAGTACCTTCAAGGTCAGGCCTCAGGAGGGAAGCTTCCTGGAGTACCTTCAAGGTCAGCCCTCAGGAGGGAAGCTTCCTGGAGTATCTTCAAGGTCAGCCCTCAGGAGGGAAGCTTCCTGGAGTACCTTCATGGTCAGCCCTCAGGAGGAAAGCTTCCTGGAGTATCTTCAAGGTCAGCCCTCAGGAGGGAAGCTTCCTGGAGTACCTTCATGGCCAGCCCTCAGGAGGAAAGCTTCCTGGATAACCTCATGGCCAGGATTAAGTCTTGCTTCTTGCACACCTACAGTGAAAATAGTCAATACAGAACTTTTAAGCTAGATCTGCTTTGTCAGTCTTTCAATTAGCTGTTGAGGGTTATCCAGTTGGGCAACATCCCTTAGATAAGAGCCCGATGTTCAACATCCTGTGATAGAGCTTGACTCTGAGGGCTTACAATGACGAGCCAGCATTGTGTGTCATTGGGGGAAGTCAGGTTTGTCAGCAGAGAACAGCCACTGGGAGGACTGATGATCAAATCTACCTCTGAGTTATGTGAAACATTACAACCTGTTCCCTCTCTAGCAATATGGGTCACCAGTGTTATAGGCGAAGCCGGCCTTGATACTACTGTTCACAAGGCCCACTCTGTCTTAGGCTTTTGCTAGAGGGACTTCAATATCGGAAATTTAGCAACTTGGAAACTGGATGAAAGCTGAAACCTTTAAGAGGTTTAATCTGAGAGACATAGATGTCTCAGATTGTTTTGAACTACCAATATCACATCTTCTGCGTTTTAGTTATGTGAAATTGATAATTAACAAACTCCTATTTACTTTCAGGGGGCATGAAAGACGCCTGGAGCCTGATGGGAGCCAAGATTTCATTGATTTGAAGATGGTGCTTGGAGTGTGTTAAAACTCTTTTGCTTTCTTTGTAAAACAGTTATACATTCCGACAATTCCGTCCATGGAGATTAGAAGATATTGAACTACAATACTTTGTTGTGTGGTTTATGCCCTTATGAAGAATGTTTATGGGTAGGATGCGTGGTGAGATTTCGCTTACTTTTGAAATGACCTACTTCCGGTTATCATCAACTACGTTTCACTACGTGTGCTTGTGAAATTTCCAATTGATGTTCGTGTTCTTATCGAGTTACCTCCCCTGACGTCCTTCCACCCAGGATGTAGTAGATCGGAGCCAGCAGTGGTGAGCTCCGCAGCATGGTTAGCGCCTCTGAGTAGGTTTCGGCCGTCTCGAGGACGGTGCGCGTCAGGAAGCCCGTGAAGGTTCCGTTCCTCATGTCCAGCAGCCACTGCAGGAACCCTGTCCAGGAACAACCAGGAACACTGTCAGGTCAGATAATGGACAGGACGCGGATTTATAAAGGACGCTACCGCTAAACAAAGATTTGAGGACATTCCATTACAGGTCACGTCAGAACGACCTTTCGCGAACATTGACCGACCAATAAAATTATTAACAAGAAGTCGACATTAACCAATCCGAAAGCAGCTTTCTCGAGCCATACGCAACTAATTTCAAATAAGAGACTTCCATTTCAGACCAAGCGTTGAAAAATAGTGATTCAAAATTTAAAAACTGAACAAAAGAAAATTCTGGAATGTCTAATAGATCGCCGAGATTGTATGGCGGTCTTCCCACGGGCTTATGTCTCGGTCAAATCCAGTTTTCAAATATATACTTCCTTTTGCCCGGCAGGGTATTACAGAACCGGTGTAAGCAGGTTACATTTACTACGAGGTGGTGTGGGTTTAAAGTAAACCATTAACCTGTACGCATTTAAACCTGTATATAATCAGTTTCCAATTATACTGACCAACGACCCCCCCTCCACCGTCCCCGGTACGGGAGTTCTCCGACACACTGAAGCCTTTCTGTGGAGTAGATAGTAGACAGTACGTCAGCACACGTGACAGCTGCACGTGACATTCATATCTACTCATATACCTACATATGATTAGCGTCTATCCTCAGTTAATAACTCGCGTAGGTTCTAAGTATTGACAGTCAGGCATATTTCTAATTTCACAATGTGATATATACTGACGGAAATAAATAAAGGAACGCCATTACGGCAAGGGTTTGGCATGCGTCTAACAGGAGCTTTTCGTTCGGACACCAGATACTGGCACTGTACCATGAGGTGAGTTCCAATGTGTTCCCTTATTTTCCCCATCAGTATATTGATAAAGGAATACTGAAAAAAAAACTTTACTGAAGTGTATAACGATAAAATAAATACACTGTTATGTGAAGCAGTGACGTTGAAGGCCGTCACTTGGTGTCCTTCATCACGTGGTAGTAGTGTGCCAGAGTGAGTGAGTCAGATTAACGCCACTTTTACACCATTCTAGGTTTATCGTGGCGTGTCGGCTTAAGCTAACCACTCTGGTGAAGCACACGAGTAAGGGAGTATAACCAGACCGTTGATCATTATTGGATTCAATCTGGGATTCGAACCCACGAGCATCAGATCCTGTGACGAATAATGTGTACATGCCAGAATTGGTTTGGGGAGTTATTACATGCCGTGTATGGTGTCAATATGGACCAGGGTTATTACATGCCGTGTATGGTGTCAATATGGACCAGGGTTATTACATGTCGTGTATGGTGTCAATATGGACCAGGGTTATTGCATGCCGTGTATGGTGTCAATATGGACCAGGGTTATTACATGCCGTGTATGGTGTCAATATGGACCAGGGTTATTACATGCCGTGTATGGTGTCAATATGGACCAGGGTTATTACATGCCGTGTATGGTGTCAATATGGACCAGGGTTATTACATGCCGTGTATGGTGTCAATATGGACCAGGGTAATTACATGCCTTGTATGGTGTCAATATGGACCAGGGTTATTACATGCCGTGTATGGTGTCAATATGGACCAGGGTTATTACATGCCGTGCATGGTGTCAATATGGACCAGGGTTAACCCATACCGTGTATGGTGTCAATATGGACCAGGGTTATTACCTACCGTGTATGGTGTCAATATGGACCAGGGTTATTACATGCCGTGTATGGTGTCAATATGGATCAGGGTTATTACTTAACCGTGTATGGTGTCATTATGGACCAGGGTTATTACATGCCGTGTATGGTGTCAATATGGACCAGGGTTATTACATGCCGTGTATGGTGTCAATATGGACCAGGGTTATTACATGCCGTGTATGGTGTCAATATGGACCAGGGTTATTACATGCCGTGTATGGTGTCAATATGGACCAGGGTTAACCCATACCGTGTATGGTGTCAATATGGACCAGGGTTATTACATGCCGTGTATGGTGTCAATATGGACCAGGGTTATTACATGCCGTGTATGGTGTCAATATGGACCAGGGTAATTACATGCCTTGTATGGTGTCAATATGGACCAGGGTTATTACATGCCGTGTATGGTGTCAATATGGACCAGGGTTATTACATGCCGTGCATGGTGTCAATATGGACCAGGGTTAACCCATACCGTGTATGGTGTCAATATGGACCAGGGTTATTACCTACCGTGTATGGTGTCAATATGGACCAGGGTTATTACATGCCGTGTATGGTGTCAATATGGATCAGGGTTATTACTTAACCGTGTATGGTGTCATTATGGACCAGGGTTATTACATGCCGTG